CTACACATCTCTTGACTTTTTTTTTCATATTTTTTCTCTTTGTTTTCTTTCACTGTGTTCTTAAAAAAAATTAATTTATTATTTTGGCTTATTAACTCACTTTTGAGCTATGGCCATTATATTCTTGAACTGTTTATCCCTCTAAGGGGAGTATATTGTTCCATTATGTTTCTAGAAAGATGTCACTTTCGTGTGTATGTGTGTGTGTGTGTGTGTGTGTGTGTGTGTGTGTGTGTGTTTTTCATGTTCACCTATCCTTAGTAACCATACAAGTGGAATAGGATGAGTTGCCAGGATAAGGAGCTTGTTTTTTTTTGCTATGTAAGCTCTACATTGAGGCATTGCTTTTTGTTCCACTTCTTGATGCCCACCACAAAGCTTTGTTCTGTGGACGATATTACTTCTTAGCCCAATTGGAGGATGATGGAGGGACCTAACTTCCCAGTTAGTCACACTGCTGCCCTGTGTTAGCTTATATCCATACCAGTATTCTCTGCAAATATTTGTAGCCATGGTTTCCTATGGTTTTATTTCTCCATTTATTGGATCTTATTTGTGTTTTGTCTTTGCAATTCTTCTACATTTCTGATTCACTGATGATACTCTTGATTGTCTTTCTAGACATTTATAATTTAAGTATCTATTGTTGCTATTTTATGGGACTTTTAGAAGAGTGTTAGAATGAATACAAATTCCAAGTCTGCCATCTTTATTGAATCCCTATCTAATTCCTTGAAAATAAAAATTAAATTTAGCTATTTTTACTTCAGGTTTCTCACACTTCAAAGAACTGTTTTAAATAGAGCTAACTTTCCCAACAAAAAAGGAAATACAAACACATTTTTTATTATTCTGAGCTTTGCCCTAATAAGAGAAATAGCCATTTCACAAAAGGAAATAATTATACAAAAGGAAATATTAGGTGAAGACAGAAGTGTCAATGTAGACACAAATGAATAACTGGTGTTTGATAATGATCTTTTCTACAAAGCTATGATTCTATTTGTTACTAGGTGGGCATGTAGTTAAATAAGAAAGGATATGCTCCCAAATTTGGTGATAGTTTTTGCAATGGGCTATTGATGTGTTCTTTTCACTTCCTTATAAACTAATCCCCCAGACATGTTTTTTTGAAAAGAACATTGATTTTAGAACTGGACACAATTCCTAATTTTTCCAGTCAGGTTTTCAGACTTTCCATCAACTTATCTATACAAAATTGAATAGAAATATAACATTTGGAAAATTATAAATTTCCACACAAAATTAAAGATGTGAAAAGAAAGATCACCACACTGCAGAAGAAACAAAGCCATGTTTGTGGCTTTTTTTAGGTCCAAGTTTAACTCACCTCTTCCTACAGCCTATCCCCAAAATAATTGTGTCCTTATGGCCTGGTATTCTCTGTCCCATTAGCCATTTGTGTCAGAAAGAAAAATAAAGAGTGAGTAAGCCAAATGACAAATTAAATCTACAGATAAATAATGACAGGTTGCATTGCAATGCTTCTGTTTTTGAAATATCAAGTCTAGCCTCATTTTCTAGTGTAGTCAAAATGCTATGGGAAGTTTGCCTGAGATTAGAGGACATTGACCTTGGGAAGGTGTTGACTGCTCCTAAAGAAAGCTCACTGCTGCTCAAAGGAATGGGGTGGAGTGCAAGTACACCCATGCAGAGGCAGGAAGCCTCTGAGATGGAGAGAAGAGAACCGTGCCTAAAAGCAAGTCAGTTCATTCCAAGATCAGATCTTTAACTCTAAGTAGGTTTCTAAGCTCAATTGTCCCTCTCAGAAAAATATAGGCTGCTGATCTGGGTTAATACTGATGTCATAAACCAAGAAATAACTCTGGGTAGTTAATAAAATAGGTCTTCCTTTCAAGTACCTAATTTATAAATTTCTATTGAATGTCAACACCTCCCAAAGGTCAATGTCCTCTATTCTCAGGCAAGCTTCTCTAGCAGGAAGTCTTCCATGACTTCTCAAAATAGGTTAGAATCCCTGTATCTTGCTCTCAAAATATTTTATCTCAGTAAAAGCTAACTGCCCATTTCCACATAGGTACAAATTCTCTGTGTAAGAAAGGTAAGCAGGGTAAAATATTTTTTTCACCTTTTTCTTAGGTGACTGACAATGCATCTTTATGAAACACAAAATGGGGAAGCCATAGATTGTTTCTCAAGTCAACACCAAGTTTCTTATGATTAGTGGACACTTCTACTATAGTTTGACAATCTATCGGTCTTAACTTTTCGTATAGTGGGTCAGGTTTTTGGTCACCACTGGTGTTTCAGAAGTAAGCCTGCGATCACTCTGAAATCACTGACTAAGAAAGTAGGATATTTGGTTCACTAACAATTTTCTTACTGGCCAGAGTTCTTGGTGGAGAAGTTGCATACAGCCAAGTTCTTGGAGTCATAGGATATTCATTACTTCCTCTCATTGTAATAGCCCCTATACTTTTGGTGGTTGGATCCTTTGAAATGGTGTCTACACTTATAAAACTGTTTGACGTGTTTTGGGCTGCCTACAGTGCTACTTCATGGCTAGTGGGTGAAGAATTCAAGACCAAAAAGCCTCTTCTGATCTATCCAATCTTTTTATTATACATTTATTTTTTGTCTTTATATACTGGGGTGTGATTCAAGTCATACATGTGTAAGGAATGGCGATGTGACATTTCTGTGTAAGCTGGGATTTCTGCCGAAGGGGTTGGACAAAACTGTTGCTGATAAAATTTTACATGTTCCAGATATCAAGGCAGGTTCAAGGTCTTTGTAAAACAATATTTTTTATATTTAATTAAGCAGTTATCTGGGATTTTTTATCAGAATTCTAAATTCTGTTTGGTTCTTCATATTCCAGTGAATAAAATATAAAAGCATTGTGTTTAAAAAAAAAAAAGAAAGAAAGAAAGTAGGTAAGGCCAGAGACTGAGCAGAGTTCCAGTCACGCATTTTTCTAGTCTGAGTTTATGTGCCAATTCATATTTAAGATCTATGATCTTTGTGTACTTTCTGTCCTTGGTACCTTGTGCATCTTATGATGTCAAATCCAAAATTAATTTTGTTTTAATTTTGTAGACAGCATGTTCTGGATCTTCTTTTCATCTCTTCAAAGCCAACTATTATGTTATTTGGGGTATAATTCCTCAACAAACTAAACCAATAATTTCACTCAGAGTCCAGAAATATTCACAGATCTATTTCTCTCTTTTATCTTGATAAGTTGTTTATATATTATCTTTCAAATAAAGCTTTAACATTGATACATGGAGAGACACAAAAAATACGTGGTATTTAGAATAATTCATAAAGAAGCAAATGTTTTGAAAAAATGTCTTGAATCAAAGAAGTAATAGTTTGGAAATGAGTTTTCTGGAATTACACAGTCTCATTGCTTCTAAAATATGTTTTTTCCCTGTGAGATCATGGAAGGGCATAATTGATTATCCTAAACTTGTAGCTTTAAATCATAACAAACCTATATCATAATTATTTAGGAAAAAAATGCATGAGATTTTTCAAATATAACCAGTAGAGTTGCCCAACTATACTCCAAATTCCCATGCAATAGAGTCCCCAGTATGTGCTTATGAAATTTCTTTCCTACAGAGACTCATAATTTCCTCCCAAGAAATAATGCCATTATCACTGAAGACCACAGAGTGAAGTAGCAGAATGAAGAAGACCTGTGGCTTGAATGCAGCCACCCAACCATCAAAATCTGCATATTCTCTGTATTCTCCTCTGGAATGAACCAGCTTAGGGAGTGAGTGGGCAAACTAGTGGCATAAAAAAAAAAATCACTACAAAGGCTTTCCCCATGGTTCTCCTTGTTTCCCTCAGAAAATCATCTCCGTTTAACAAGGGAAAGGAGAATAAAAAGCTCAGAGAGGAAGTAAGGGAAAATGAGAATGCTCCTTCCAATTATTCAAGGGCTCCCCATTACTTGCAGAACAAAGTATGAGTTCCCATGCAGATACTTGAGGCTCTGGCTGTCTGTGGCCAGCTGGCACTGAAACCTCACTCATACCACAGGGAATTGTTGAGGGATGAGCTCAGAGAGGTAACCAGAGGTCAATGAACCAAGACCTCAAATCAGGAGTGAGGTGGGAGCCATTACAGATCCTGAACAAAGAGTGAAAGCATAACCCTTTTGTTTCATTCTTACTTATTCTTCTCAGATGCACTCCATATTTCCAGCATAAAGATCCGTTCACCCTAAGAAGCCTCCCCCAACATCCCTGCCCATGATGGTCTCATTCTGCGTTGGTGCCCATCTCCAAGGTCCCTCCTTCCAAAGCTTCCATGATTCTACCAGCAAGATGTGACTCTCCCTCCTGCTCTAATCCTATGAATGTCCCCAATACTCAGTTTAGACCATAGTTACAGCTTTTGCATTTTCTGCCTTGTATTAACTATTACAGGTTCAATGACAAAATGAGACATGTCTTGCTTTGAGCCTCAGCTGAACTACAGATCCCTTTAGTCATGGATTACATTTTCTACAGCAAATCAGGGCTGTTACCTCAGCTGTAAGAGAGGTCGGGGGTCTCCACAAACTCATCAGACAAGTTTCCCGGGCATTGACCATGTGAATATAGCAGTTTTGCCAGTAGGTCCAACAATGCAAGTTTATCACACTTCTGAATTAACCATTTTTTCCCCAACTAAATTGCTTTGGACATACACTCTTGTTGTTACTCTTAAGAAAACTGAAGGGATTTGTTGTCTCTACTTCTTGTTCTGGGACTTGTATTTCACTGTCATCTTTGTTACCCTTATTTATCACATGTTTTGCTTTCACCACTAGAGGCATGTTCTTTGGAGATGAAGGCCTCATAGATTTATTTGTGGGCCCCATCTGTTCCCTTACCTATGGACCCTTGCTCATAAAATAGCTGCAGATGGGCTATTTGCATGGCCTTCCCAGCATTCAATCTCAAATGAAATCTAAAAAGGAAGGAACCAAAGCTAACCTGTTATCTCTCTTATAACAGGATTTTGTGCCGCTGTATCAAGACTTTGAGAATTTTTATAAGCGAAACCTTTACATGAGAATCAGAGATAACTGGAACCGACCCATCTGCAGTGCCCCAGGACCTCGGTTTGATATGATGGAGAGGGTATCAGATGACTACAACTGGACATTTAGGTGAGGCAGCCTAAATGGAGGAGTTTGTTGGGAGGGGTGAATCCTTTTCCTGGAAATTGTGGCACCAAATTACAGATCTAGGGGGAAAAAAAGCAAGGCATGGAAGTGACTGGTCTTGCATCATTCAGCCTTGTGCAAGTCTTCATGATGCCACTGGAGGAAGTCACAGTAATTAAGTTGCCAAGATGGCTTGATTATATATTAATTAACTTGAGACCTGTGTCAGAAGGTACAGAACACACAGAGCTAGCCATGAAGACCTCTTTTCAGCAAATTGTATTTTTCTACTTCTTGCCAAAGGAGACAGTGATGGTCATGGTTCTTATTTCTTTAGAAAGTTCTTACTAAACTAAAGCATAGTTGTCATAGAAGTAAGCACCCAAGGAAAATCAGGGCTAAGTAACACTCCATGACTCAGGATACCTTTCTCCAATGTTCTGCCTAACTTCATTACGGAGTTACCTTCCTCCAAAGGCAAATCATTTTTTTTTGTAGTAGCTTTTTTTAATGCATAATGGAAAAGGTTGTTTCAAGGTACATGGGATAATTTAATACATTCATATAATTTTAAAAAATCAAATCAGTGTACTTGGTATATCTATCACGTTAGATATTTGTCTTTTCTTTATGCTAGAATCATTCAGATTCTTCTCTTCTAGTTATTTTGAAATATACAGTATGTTATTATAAACTATAGTCACCCTACTGATCTAACACCGGGTCTTATTCCTTCAATCAAAACATATATTTGTACCCATTAATCAACTTTTCTTTATCTCCCCCTCCCCTTCCCCTTCTTGGCCTCTGATAACCACCAATTTACCCTCTGTTTTCATGAGATCCAATTTTTTAGCTCCCACATATGAGTGAGAACATGTGATATTTGTCTTTCTGTTCCTGATTTATTTCACTTAATATAATAGCCTCCAGTTCCATTCAAGTTGCTTCGAATGGCAGAATTTTATTTATTTTTATTATTATTATGGCAATGGTACAAGTTAATAAGAAAGAAGAAAATATATGATTTGGGCCAAAACCAAGGTCTCTCAGGATGATATTAAGATAGCCCACTGTACTCACTAACATGTCTCCCTGCAGGTTTACCGGAAGAATCATCAAAGATGTCATCAACATGGGCTCCTATAATTTCCTTGGCCTCGCAGCTAAGGATAATGAGTATTTGATGACAGTTAAGGATGTTTTAGAGAAATATGGCCCGGGCGTGGCCAGCACCAGACATGAAATGGGTATGTACATTCGCTATTTTGAAATTTTGCCCCATTAGAGCTCAGATTCCTTGTGGCTACATCTCAAACCTAGATTGTATCTAGCCTGTGTGTCTTATGAAACTATTACAGGCCGGGCTCGGTGACTCAACCTGTAATCCCACACTTTGGGAGGCCGAGGTGAGTGAATTACCTGAGCCCGAGGGTTCGAGACCCGCCTGGGCAACTTGGCAAACCCTCATCTCTACAATAAATCAAAAAAATTAGCCAGGGGTGGTAGTGCGCACCTGTAGTTCCAGTTACTTGGAAGGCTGAGATGGAAGGATCGCCGGAGCCCAGCAGGTTGAGGCTACAGTGGCCGGGAGCGTGCCACTGCACTCCAGTCTGGGCGACTGAGTGAGACATCAACTCAAAAAAAAAAAAAAGAAAAAAGAAAGAAAGAAACTATTATAAAATGCCAAAAGAAAAAAGGAATATTTAGGGAAATTGTAAGAGTTATGCCATTACCAGTTTATTAATTATATTTTTTAATTCTCAAGAATAGATTTTTGAAAATGAATATTTCCTGCTCCTATCATTGAAAATAACAAAAACTATTTTGCTTCCTACAACTGGTCCTTTTCTGCCCTTTCTCCTGCTTTTCTTAATGCTCCTCATTGCTGATAAAATGAACTTGCTTTTATCTTTGTATATAATCCATCTCTGCTCTTAAAATGTAAGTTTCATGAGGAAAAGGATTGGTCTTGTGGAATGCCATGTTGAATAAATGAATGAATAATAAATGAATAGACAAGGTGGAGAAGACTGCCTACTTATTTCCCTTTTAGCTATTTTTTAATTCCAAAAGTGACATCTGTAAGAAAGAAACTTCCACGTCTCTCCATGACAGAAAAAAAAGAGCAATGCAAGCTTGCTCTCATAGAGTGCTTTGCAATTCCTGGCATGTTGGTTTTTTAATGTAGCACTTTATTTATTCTTCAAAAAAAAAATTCCATGCTGTAAGCAGCACAGGTAGTGTTAGTCCCATCTGCTGAAGGAGGAAATTGAGGATCATGACACCTATGTGATGTGCTCAAACTGGTTAAATAATCATCTTAACTCCCAGTCTTAGCTGGGCTCGGTGGCTCAGCCTGTAATCCCGAGCCTTTGGGAGGCTGAGGTGAGTGGATTGCCTGAGCCCGC